CCTCACCAAACCATCACAATTGACAACTTTTAAGGAGCACTACCAAAAGGGAAAAGTTTCGAGCTAACTCTGGACTGAATTTCCAAGAGTAAGGCAGTGAATGGAAAACAGCGCGTCTCAAAAGACCTCCTGCGAGACTGGTAGACCTCTGAGTACGGGCGAGTAGTACGAAAGATATGGGCAAAAAATCTGCAGAACGTAGTTTAAATCCCAGTTAGTGGTCATACAAGAGATTTGGGCGCGGTTCGGCTTAGCGGGGGCAGCCAGTGGCTTGTATAAGCGACAAGACATGTACTTCCCTGTAGTATAGGGCACCCTTATACAGTTCGCAGCTTCCCAAGAGTTTACAGTTGTTAATCTGTTAGTTAATATGTTTAGCAACAGAAACTAGCCAAAGCGCAGAATGCTCCCTCCAACCGGACAGCGGCAAACTTTTTGGAGCCTGGCCTCCAAATCTTCCCTTCAACCCGATAGTCCCTAGTTTCTCTCTCAAACTATGCCAATGCGCACGCAAATGTTATTGCTCCCCCTTTGTGTACCTGTAGTTTGTCCGACCGAAATGGACAGTTTTGCAAACTATTGACGGGGTGCATTGCGAAAACTGCCCTTGAAATCTGCTCTTTTACGCGTTAGCGGAAGTCTGTCTCAGCGTTTGTTCCAAGGTTGCGTGAACGTAGCAATGGAGATTTCGTATCAAGATTGATAATGAATGAATCGCGCTGTCCAAAAATGCGCAATCTCTCTTTATTGCACGCAGAATCGCGCTTACAATAGATAGCTACGTCACTGAACCATTCAAGTATGACCTTGTCCTGATACGGTTTTTTGAGGTAGCGCCACAAACGTACCATGAAGAAAAAGCGTCTCTTCTGACTTCAACTGAGCGGGAAGGCCAACAAAGGGCAAATTTTTTCCTGCCAAATAAAAGGTGATGCGCTCATCCGAAACGGTTTTTGACTATGTTGCTTCTTTTGACGTTAGGTGCCTTAACGAACACAGCTCAAGCCTTCCTGTTTGGACCAATGTGTGGTTGTGGGTGAGTGTTTTTACGTTCTATAAAGAATTATCCGCAGACTAAACTACTACTAGATTTTTTTCAGAGGCTTATCACTGCCATCACTTCCTCCGTTGCAACTTCCAGGACTCGGCTGTCCTCCTCCAGCTTGTGCACCTCCTCCTCAGCTAGCTTTACCGTGTGCTCCTCCTCCAGCTTTGCCGTGTGCTCCCACGCCAGCTTGTGCGCCTCCTCCTCAGCCAGCTTTACCGTGTGCTCCTCCTCCAGCTTTGCCGTGTGCTCCTACGTCAGCTTGTGCGCCTCCTCCTCAGCCAGCTTGTGCTCCAGTTCCAGCTCCAGCACCTGTACCTTATGCACCAGCTCCAGCTCCAGCACCTGTACCTTATGCACCAGCTCCAGCTCCAGCACCTGTACCATATGCACCAGCTCAACCGGCTCCACCCGCGGGATACAGGACTGCTCAACCGCTTCCTTATGTGAATCGCCCAGCTCCTGTAGCACCTCCGTCTGCCAATTACGAGGTTGCTGTGTATCCTCCGGTCAAAGAGGCTTATGTCGAAGCCGGGAAGATTTAGGGAACGTTGAAAAAATCACTTAATGTATATATTTTAAAAATAAAAAGATTTTGAGAATAAAGACTTGTATTTTGAATTTTCCGGGAGAACCGCGCCCGAACTTCTCGGAGTTCAGTGGTAGTGCTGCAGTGGCCGCGGCCACAGGTTAAAAAATGCTGAAGAGTCGAACCCTCAAATTGGCTACTTTTTGGATGCTGTGCTTTCGGTAAAGAATTATTTTATTATTATTGGGTTTTTATTCCCTAAAATCGCTCAACGATTCAATGAGCATCACGATCTCCTTCGCTGAGCTATTAAGTCCAGAAGTTCAGCCGACTGCAAGCCGAATAAGCCACGGAATCTCACTTTTCAGCCAGTTTTCAGATGAATGTCCTGGAAACTCGTGGTGTGATGAGTATAAGACAGGAGATAAGTAGGGTGCGGTGGAACTTTACAACCGAGTTCAGCGGAGAGTAAGGTTCAAGTGAAACTCATAAAAAGGCCCGTACCCGTTAATTACCCGTTAATTACCCGTTTTCTTGCACTTCTGGGGAACTGCATCTTTCTGTAGCTGAAAAAGTTCACTCTTGCAGTCACGGTGCCGAAGTAATGCCATACTATAAATTCCCACCAACAACACAGCGAAATGTTCTTTTCGCCAGTCTTCTTTCATCTTATCTGCAAGTGATTTGCCAGCTAGTATTTCTGTGTGCGGTTGGCACTTATAACGCATTGTCATGTTTTATGAGCCGTTGGGGATGAGTGAGGGAGAGGGTCGTAATTCCCTCCAAGAAAAATGCTTCCAATCGCTGAATTTTTCGTTTTTTTTCGTATTTCAATAGCGCGATACGCTCGTACTGGCTTCGTTGGTCTTTTTTGAGGGCTAAGAGGAGGTGTGGGATTGTACCCGAGGATCCTTCGTAACCCAGGACCTAGAGGTGCCTGTTGAAGACTGCTAAAGTGACCTTTCAGATAAAGCAATGATGCACTTGATTGTGGACAAACTGGTGTTTGCTGCACGACCGCAGCCAAGAGCTGCCTACACTTGAAAGTAGCATAGCATGGGGAATATCCCTAAGAACGTCACGCAGAGCTTTACCCTGAAGCCAGTCGGAGGATCTTTGTGAGGTCTATCTTCTAGGGAATCATCTTCTGAAACGGTTGACAGACCACTACGAATCTCCTAACCATAGCACAGGTATAAGCGGTGGCACCGGGTTATCCCGAGTTCGTAGAGCAGGATCATTTAAGTTTCATTCTGGTTCATTGAAGTCCTTGTTGGGAACCAGTCAGCGCGCTTATCCTCTGCTCTTGTGAAACACGACCATGTCACTGAAGAATTTAGACTGGAGTTCCACTCAATTCTACTTTGAAAATTAGATATCGGTGCAAGACTTTTGGGGACGGCCAATTTGCACTCGAAGGGCGCGCGTGAGAGATGAAAGGTGTGTTGCCTTGGCAATCTCTACAGACAACTAGTATTGGGCTGAAACATGTTGCAAAAGAACCAAAACGAGGGATGGGATATAATTAATTGGTCCATCTTTAGAGAAGAAAGGTGAAGAAGTTGCAAAAATCTTTCTCGGAACGAAATTAATATGTGTTTCAGTGGAAGAGAACAATGGGCGAGTTTCTCGCAGCTTGCCCAAAACTTGTTCGTTTTCTTGTCCGTTCAATTTTGGCAGCAGAATGGGGTCACATACACTTCATTACCTTTCAATGAAACGTTCACATGCTTTTTCCCTCATGGACCTTATTCATATGAGTAAGGGGAGGTCCTCATGGGAGTACATCAAAGTGTAAAGACTATCTGAAGCTAACACCAATCAACCGCTAGAACTAGAACTGGACTATCTACAGAACTCCCGTAGAGGGCCATGCAGTCCTTGGAGATATTTTTCGCGCTTTACAGCTTCCTCGTAAGTTTGTAAAGAGTAAAATATGTTCTTGAAACGATGGGCTCAGGACAGGAGCGAGAATGTCTTCGTTCCTCCAATATCAATTCGAGGTGGAGGTTTTTTCACGACATGCTGTAAGCTCCCTTTGAGGATCGTCGTTTCGATTTGCGAGAAGTGAAATGGTCCCAGGCTTCGAAGTGCGCCTCCTAGCCGTGGCGCACTTCGGTTCAGGCTGTGGAGCCTTCAGTCCACACATATTAAAGGCAGTTGGCACGACGAAATCTCTAAGAAGAGTAGGACTGATACCGCCTGGCAGGATAGGATTCCGCAACCCAAGCAGGTGCTGCGTAGCGCCTTTTCTGAGAAGGCACCCTTAGAAGGGCCCTATCGAGCTACAACATTATGCCCCGCCCTCCCACAGATGGACGACCGTACCTGACGCTCGTATTGCTTTATTTGCAAAGTAAAATATGAAGCGAAGAGATTGGTATGAAGCGGCTGCGGTGCTGCATGGATATATGGGAACATACATGCAGCCGTACCCACCGTAGCGGTTATTGGCAAGATGTCTACGGAAAACTCGTCCGAAATTGTCATTAAGGACGAAGGTTTTTCTTCGCAGGTTTTTGACCGTTTCACTTCGTTTTTCGCCATTTTCCCACTATATGGCTCCCTGCTAGCATTTCAGGCCAATATCGTACCAACTGCCAATAAGTAACCAACTTGCAGGCGAGCGTTTGTATCCTTAAATCACTGCGTAGGGAGTCGCATTTGGGGTGAGTGGTCTGCAAATGAGAACTTTAAGGAATGTGGGCTATTCCGGCGGCTTGGAATATAAATATTAATATATATATTAACAAAAGCTGAGCTACCTCTCCGCTTTCGACCCCCAATTTCATCATGTTTTGCGCTAGACAAACTTCATGACATATGTACCAAGCAGCAACATCCCCCGAAACGCACAGCCGCCGCCACGTTCAAGTGAAGTACGCATCCACGCCCTCCGCATCTCCAAGGTAAAGGGTCTATGCACAGGTACTTTCCCGTCCCCTAGAGGCGATTTCCGTTGGGGAAAATTAAATGGAAGGTGCAAAAAATGAGGAAATACTGTTAGAAAGTAGATAAAGTTAACCTTCAAGGTCGTAGGGAGGGGATGAACGAATTGAAAGGTCTTAGTGAAGGCTAATTAGTTTCAAGAGCCGTTTTGCTGTGACCAACTCGGAAACAGCGATGAGTTTTGAAGTGTAGAGAACGATGTCTTGAGACTGGACACGCATGAACGTTTGTTATCCAGTAAAGAACCCGTCGCAACAAAAAATTTTGCAATAATGGCAGTGTGAACCAATAACTGGTCCTGTTCGTATAAAAATGCCTTACGCGAGAACTCAGCACATTTCATATGTCTCCCCATTTCATTCTCCTCCTTTGGATTGCTAGTGCTGAGGCACAACTCTTCGGTCCACCAATGGGAGGATTCGGAGGATTCCCACCAATGGGACCACCAATGGGACCACCAATGGGACCACCAATGGGAGGATTCCCCCCACCAATGGGACCACCAATGGGAGGAGGATTCGGAGGAGGAGGAGGCTGTTGTGGTCCTCCCGCGTAAGTTTCGTTTATATCAAACACATTATTATGAAATTATTACCTTTTTTAAATGCCTTTGATCTGCCAGTTTATTTTTCATGTTAGCAACGATATTCAGACTGAGACAGGTTCATTTCAGCTGTTGTCCACCGCCAACGTCTTGCGGACCACCCATGGGCGGACCACCCATGGGCGGTGGTGGTGGTGCAGCCTCCTGCAGCTCCTGCAGTAGTGTACGTGCTCGCTTCTCCAGCTCGGCCTCCTGCACCACCTCCACCTGCACCATCATTTGCTCCACCTCCACCTGCACCATCATATGCTCCACCTCCACCTGCACCATCATATGCTCCACCTCGACCTGCACCATCATATGCTCCACCTCGACCTGCACCATCCTATGCAGTCACCTCCACCTCCACCATCGTATGCGGTCGCTCCACCTGCACCTGCACCATCATATGGGCCACCTCCGCCCCCTGCACCTGCACCATCATATGGACCACCTCCAGCTCCTGGACCTGCACCATCATATGGACCACCTCCAGCTCCTGGACCTGCTCCATATGCTACTGCTGATCCTTAATAATCGTCATATTGATCTTCAGTTGTGATATCAGGACATGGATTTACCGCTCTCATGAGAATTGCCAGGTGTTTAGGAACTGTTTGCAATAAATTTTGAAAGTTTTCATGATCATCTCGCAGTGGAGTCTCTCGTTGTGAGGAAAATCAGAAAATGCTTTCCGAGGCAACCTTCCATTCAAAAATATGGAGACAGTAGAGTATATGCACTCACCTCACGTATATAAACTTTTAGAGTGAGTTCTCGAAATCTTCTAGACGGGTGCGACCGTTATCGATGCGACGAGAGGCTTGATTGCCCTGCTTTATAGTTAGTACTATTTGAGCTCAAATAGCGCCTTTTGAAGCCATAATATCTTGAGGGCTAATGCCAAATCTCAGGGAAAATGACAGAAGCACCATTTCCAAAGAACAAAGGCACCATCCTATACCTTCGTCCACCAAAGGGATAAATCCGGACGACAATCAAGCTACTGCAAGCCTGGGCTGCCGTTTGTAGGATTGGGAGTCCAAATAGACCAAATAACGTGACAGTATCCCTAAGGATAAATGGCGTTCGTACACCTCGCATTCTGAATTGATTCAGAATATAGTGAGAGTTATAAGCGATTAGTCCCACGTAACGATTTACGGTGGCCGGCTAAAACCAAGTTCAGTGTTTTGCCTTTCAGTACAAAATTTGATTCTACTATTACTCAGTTTGCACAGAAGAACAAGCTCTCTAGAGCTGACGAGGGTGAGGGAGGGAACTTGCCGCAAAAGACGTGCGCGTACCAATGGTACCATCCCACTTCCTTCACTCAATCACAAAGCTAAGGGAGGCGCTCTCCTACTACCATCAATGGAATAAACACTATGCAATTCATTGTTTCCATCCCAAGTATCAAAAAATCAAAAAAAAAACTCAAAAAAAAACCGACAAGGTCAAGAAGTCAATCAAAGGTCTCAAAT